AATAATAATAATAATAATAATAATAATAATAATAATAATAATAATAAATTAAATATTAATGCTCTGATGGTCGTTTTGAAAAATCCTTTCTTAGTGAGCACCTAGAAGTCAAGAGGAACATATGTGCCAAATTTCAAGTTTGTAGGCTTTACAGTTCTGGAGATTTTGTGATGATGCATGAGTGGTATTTCACTTTTATGTATATCGATAACTTTATATTAAAGTTTAATATATAACAATCAAAGAAATTAGAACTTTTGATCATTAATTAGTCCTTGATTTATGACCATTGGTTTAGCATCTGTCCAAAGTTATGACAGTGCTGAAAAAAGTGACTTATAACTGGTCCTTGTGCTTACATAATTGCAGGATCTCTGCAGTCATGTGATGGTGATCTCGGCGCTTGACAATGGCATCTATTTATGATAGTTGCAAAATCCTGAGGTCAGGCGATCGCCATTTGCGACTTTCCCACTGGCTTCCAACTAGCAAAGTCAATGGGGAAGCTAACCGGGAAGGTTCCAAATTGGGATCCTGTGCATATCTTGCAAAATGACTGCGGCAAAAAAGCTTATAAAATCAGGTGCAATGATAGGATGCCTCACTTACCACACTGCTTAACAATGAATTTTCTTACCCCCAAATGTGGCTGTAAGTCAAGGATTACTTGTAACATCGATCAAAGATAAAGATAAAAATGGCAAATGTGACAGCCTAAACGGAGCGTAGCGAGGTGTCTCACCATGTCTTGGCCAAAGTTTTGGGTCAAGAACCAAGTCTTCATGGCTTCTCTAAACAACAGTGAGCCATTCAGATCTTGGGGGAAACTTTATTCCCGAGGGAAGAGACTGCTATGGAGACTATTATTATGGCCAAATTCATAAGCATATGTACTACCGTAGGAGATAAGTGATGTGATGTTCGGGGGTGTGAATATAAATTAGATGTTTTTCCTAATTGTCAGGGTAACAAAATAGCCTCATAGATGTTCACAGACTCAAAGGTTGTAAGTTTTGAGATTGAATGTCTTAAGTATCTTTAGGGACTACCTCAAGAGCATGTCAAGGGCTCTTCACAAAATGATTGCCTCTCCATCACACCCGCCTACACAGACCCTCAGCTCCCAGGATGCATGCTAATGCCATCCAATTTATCTCCCCCCCCCCTCCGCCCAGACAGTTGATCAAACTTCAAAGTATAACTCAGGGCTACAAAAATCCGCCATGCTTTGTGTGTTTTCCCACTTATTTAGAATAAGAAAGGAAAGGAAACCTATCTGTTAGTTTCTTTTATAACGGCTGGCTTTTCACAGAAAATTAAGGTAGGTACATCCACATAGCTACTAATTTGATGCCCAAAACATCCAAAATGAATATCTTACTAACTCTGCAATGGTGAATATTCCTCCTGAGTCAATGAGTTGTCCTTCAAGTAGCCCGAAGAGAATAACAGTTGAAAGGGATCTTGAAGGTCTTCTAGTCCAACCCTTTTTTCAAGCAGGAAACCCTATCACATTTCAGACAAATGCAACTTTCAAATGCCCTATTCCCATTTTAGCCACATTTATTTGTGAGGTAAGGGAGCAAGTGTAGCTGTGCATGCAAACATCCTGAAGTCTGTGCAATACTGTGTTACTGGCAGCATCACAAATAATCGGTTTTGATCTGTTCCCTATCTTGTTTGGAAAGAAATGGGTGGATGATATAGTGCCAGTCAGTTGCATGGCCCCAGAGGCCTTGTAAAAGGATATTTATAACATGAGAAATTTGATTAGAAAGGAAGCATGGTGTAATGGTTAGAGTAGGGATTCCCCAACCCTTTTGTTTGTCAACCCCTCATGAAATTTCAGATTGTCCATTTACCCTCAAAGATTTATTACTGGAAATAATTTAATACAGGGAGTCCTCAATTAAATGAGGTAATTGCAGCAATGCTCAAAGAGACTCTACTTACAGAGGAGCATGGATACAAAGTATAATTAAAGAAGAAAAAAGGGCATTGAAATAATATTTGAAGGACAGTGAAGAAGATGTACTGAAGC